GTTAACTTTAACAATACTTCCTGACTGCAGTTCAATTACTCACTACCTACACACATTGTCCCGGTCACGCCGTGACCATCTTATATATATGTACAAGACCACCCCCAATCTAGCAAATGCTAGAGCATTCCCGAAGGAACAGGATAGTTCTAGAAACGTGACGTGACACTAGTCACGTGACCTCGCTGACGCAACAGAAGTATAACATAAGTCGGTCTTCACCGGTCCGTGTTGAACCGATGCTACAGTTCGTCTTCACTGCAGTGACTGCTTGGGCGATTAAGAGAATCACAAGATATGGTCTCTGAAGAAACTGAAGGAAGATTTTTGATTTTTATTTTTCTCAGCCTGCAAACTTTGAAGTAAGGTCGTGCATTACAATAGTATTAGTATCCAATATTCCCTTCTTGTTTGTGTCTAATACAACTATGTACGTATCATCCTTACACAGTGGCGAATTAAAAACAAAACACGAAGGTATATTTTCCTTCCAGCAGTATGACTTTTTTTTTTTCGCGTGTAATTTATCTTTAGTTTCTTAAACATTGTTACTATATTTGTATTTAAGTTCAGTTAAAAAACTGTTACTCGAAGTGGACAGTGATCAGAGTGATAAGTAATAATAAAATTAGTACTTCAGTTAGATGAAATATTTGTTTTGGTATTTTCTAAGCTTTTATAAGTTTATCACTGAAAGTTACTGAACTCAGCCTCCTGTCTGGAAAACAAAAAAAAACACTATAATTATCTATATTTTCAACTTACTTTGTTTTCACTTTTTTTGTTTCTTAATAGTTACTTCTGATTCTACATTCTAAAGGAGCCATGGCACACAGTATTCAGAGACTTGGGATTTCCATGTCTGGGTTAAGTAAAATGATCAACAGAGGATACCAAAGACCACTGACTCTTGTACGAACAACGACATCAGCGTCTAAAGCAGAAACTCCAGTATCTAGTGGTGAGTGAAATGATAATTCTACAGTCGGTTTGTGTTAAACAAGTTTATTTGTACATACGTAAAATACTTGTTTTATTATACATAATTTACATAAAACATTAAAGTCCAGTATTCATTACTATGGGAACCAAAATTTACTGTATGCTTCTCGGTATTCTTCAAGGTTTAATAACCAGTACTTGAGCTCGAAGGATGAGTCATCTCTTACAAGAGGACAAGAAGAATGCGTTACCTTTCCGCTGCACGTGTTAGTGATCACGTGAATTTAAAAAAAAAGTTTTTTTACCAGCTTTATTAAGCTGAAATTCCCGGGACTTTCAGACGTCAAACTGCTTTTGCTACAGGAGATTCTAATAGTGTCTAGGGTTACTGATTTCTGAAGTGAGTACTAACGTCAAATATTTGGCATTAGGTTTATTTTAACCAAGAATAAAACCGAGTGTGACGTACAGGCCTAACAGATTCTTTGATTGGCCGCGCCCACTGCTGTGGCCTGTAATTTTGTTTCTTTAAGGGTCATCAGCCCAACTGGGAACAGAGAGAATACAAACAAAAACTACAGTAAGACCTTCTATAATTCTGTTTGTGTGAGAAACTCGAAGTGTTTTTAAGTCATTTTAAACCGCACGATCGTGCGCACACCCTTAGAAAATAAGTTGGAAGATAATTCTGGTTAACATAAGAAGGAGAGTATTTGTCATGTTCAAAGTAAGTTGTTCACCTGGAAACGTCGAGTTTAAATGATGTGTTTGAAATAATTTATATATGGCTACCTGCAGCGCCACAAACCAAACCCTCCAAGTCTCATCTTTCCAACTGTATTAGTCCATTTTCTTCACCGTCTACGTTTTATACAAATATGTTACAATAGATCGCACCAGAGGCTGCTAGAATAAAAGCATGTTGTGAATTTTTACTGTTATCAGTGGTGTCGTGTGTTGTTTATATATAACACCTGAATAACTTTGTACTGATAACATCTACACTAAATTGATAACTTAGTGAGAACTCGCACCATCTTTCAATAATACCCATGCGCTGGATTGTTACGTTACATGCAGGGTATAAATTTAACATTGTTGAGTGGACGTGATTGGTAGAACATCCAGGTATTCATTCACGCTTTCCTGAAGGAACTGCACGTGTTTCTAAACCACTGTCATCTAGGACAGCTCGGGAACTAAACGGTGCACGTGTTTTTCTCAAACCAATGTCATCTAGGACAGCTCGGGAACAAAACGGTGTATGTGTTTTTCTCAAACCACTGTCATCTAGGACAGCTCGGGAACTAAACGGTGCACGTGTTTTTCTCAAACCACTGTCATCTAGGACAGCTCGGGAACTAAACGGTGCACGTGTTTTTCTCAAACCACTGTCAGCTAGGACAGCTCGGGAACAAAACGGTGTACGTGTTTTTCTCAAACCACTGTCATCTAGGACAGCTTAGGAACAAAACGGTGTACGTGTTTTTCTCAAACCACTGTCAGCTGGAACGGCTCGGAAACAAAACGGTGTACGTGTTTCGTGTGTCTTATCAATGTTTTTAGTCCATCGCCAGTACATTTGACTGCTATGTTACAGTTCTTGGTACAGTTAGAGATGGTTCAGTCCTGATCATTTAATGAATTTCACAAATGACATAGTTGTCCTATTAGTTTCTTTCTGTCAGTCATCATTGGTTAGAGGATACTTCCTAATTGTAAGCGTATTCCCTTTAGATTGCCTCATTTTAAAAGACAGCCAGACAGTTTTGATAACAGGTCAAAAAAACTTAACTTGTACAAGACTGCCACCCATTGTTTTGACTTTTTAACATCTTAATCCTTGCTCTTACACATTCTTGTATATACGAATAAGTGTGGTATTTGTAGTGATTTACATACAGATGAGTATTGGTTTTTGTACAAATATTTGGCCTGATCAAGCTGCCCGTTTTTTAGTGATACTTAATTGCCGTTTAACAATTAAATACTATTAAGCTACCAGTGTTTCCTTTGCTTAGGTTATATCTTTTATGGATTAGAGATGACTCGGTAATGCGCCTTACTCGTGGTGTTTAAAACTAGTTCTGTCTGAAGTGGAATGCAGAAGTTGCTTTAATAACATCGGAAATCCAAGGATACTAAAGATGTTACCACACAATCATGGTAACGTGGTTCAACTCTCTAAGATGCACAGTGCACCCTATCCGCCTCATTCCACTCCCCTAACAACGAAGGTTAACACCCCGGATTATTAAAATACAATCCGCCTCATTTCACTTCCGTAACAACCACTTAAAGCATCAGAACGCTAGAACAAGTGATCTCCAAAATTGAGTTCGGTGATGACGTCAGTGGTGATGAAGGAAGCACGAGAGCGTTCAGGAATCCATCTCTTACTCAAGTTCGCTAGTTGCGTTCAATACGCAGTCAAATTCTACCTCGAATCTGTTCTTTGATGATGGGTGAGGGAGGGGGACATCTTCACGTATCTTATCCTGTGTCATTTCTGAAATCCCAAAATAAGTAGCCAAAAGGAAATACATTAACATCTCTAATGAGGAATACGAATACTCCAGAAAGCACGATGAATTGTTTAGCGTACAATACCCAGTTGTAGATAACATAGTCAGGCTGAAACTAGAATAGTGAATCTACATTTGTAGAAGTATGTTTACAAAACGAGTTCATAACGTCCACTGGGATCGATATAATACCCAGTTGTAGATAACACAGTCAGGCTGAAACTAGAATAGTGAATCTACATTTGTAGAAGTATGTTTACAAAACGAGTTCATAACGTCCACTGGGATCGAATCTTGTTCATTCAGTACATCTTGTATAATATCTATCAACTTTAACCTCAGTCTCAGTGAAAAAAAGAGAAAAAAAAGGACCGTTTTATCCAATGGGCTCAGGGCCCTCCGTGGGTTCCGGGTATAATGATAATAATAATATATAAAGTGAATAATGATGATAATAAACAAGTTTTCTAAATATATTTTCCTTCTTTTTTTATTTCCTTAATTTTCTTTTTTGTAGGATATTTTCTTAAACGTAAGGGTAAGTTCACTAGTTTATACTTCGCCCAGTGCCTTAATGTGGAACTGTAGAAAAAGTGTGAATATTTAAGGTTCTTGTTAATTTTGTGCTCATTTAACAATCTCTTAATAATTTAAAAAATACTTTATTCAAAGAATTATAGAATAAAGTTGTAATTTTGTAATTACACATTTAACGCTCTTGTTTATTTTTAGGCAGAAAAATACTGCAATCACTTTTGTCCTGGAACTAGTGTTAGTCTGAAGTGGACATCGTCCACAAACTTCTTTAGAAGAATGGCCGCTTCCATCCACTTGTTTTGGAAAATTAATTTTTTCATACTCTTACCTGCACTTTTATATCATTTGAATAATAGTTTTTAATCTTATCGTCGTACGTATAACAGTCCTAGGACCAAAGTAAGTTTTATATGCGATGCTCGTTTAATCTCGGCCTTCTGTTTGTGTATCAAATTCGCCACACAACATTCTTTTCCTTTTTGACGTCAATCTTTGTGATCAGAGTCGAGTTGCGATGGGTTCCAATTTGATTCCACATTTTATTTCTGTGCTATTATGAACAACAATGGTTGGAAAAGTGTCCGCAGTATTTCAAACCGTTTTACTACGTAGATATCTAGATAATACCTTTTAACATCTTTGAAAACTAGTCAGATTTTTCGGTTTCATGAAAAGCATAACTATGTAAAAGTCACCGCTGATCATCATAACCTCTCGCTTTAGGACGTATGACGTAGTCGTCCATACTATTAGATGGGGAGTACTTGAACGTGCTCTGGGTGTGACGTAGTCGTTCATTCAAATTATTTCACAATTTTAGCGAGGGCGAATGATGAAAATATTCTCCGCATAAGAGCTTGTTCTTACACAAACTAAACCCTCGGATTAGCCAAGTGAACCCCGCATAATAGTACTTTTGATCCCATTCGTCCATCATCATCATGATTATTATCAAACAGTCCACTCATTGTTTACTGCCTCTAAATAGACGCCTCCTATGTTACAATAAATCAAGCATATAATTTCATGTGTTCTATTTCACAAAGAACACCGCATTCACTTCCTTTAAAAGACTGAGTTTAGTAGTGTTGACATCTAGAGGTTTTAGAATTTGTGACATTAAATAAAAGGAAGGAGGAATATGATCATATGGTTGGTTCACTGCAAGCAGAGCCTTCTAGTAGTAGATCTAATGTATCCGTAGTTACATTTTAGGCACAGAAAATCTTACACAATTAATAAGCTAATTAAGGGATTCTGCTTATTTTAACATGAGTTGAATAACATGACTCTTTAACAAGCTTTCTAAAGCTTTCATTAACACCCCTAAAGTTCTGAACCTTCGTTAAACTGGATGCGGCGAATACTGAAAAGAAGAGAAAGGACAAAGTGTAGTAATCAAACTTTACATATTTTAAATAGTAATTAAATTCTGTAGTCCTCAACAACTGGATAGAAGTCTATTAATACTGTAGAATCGAGTCGAACAAAAAAATTAATAAATAAAGTCACTTTTCTTTTTTCTCCTCTTACTTAGAGCACGAACTTACCTACCATCGCCCTAATTCATTCGAAAAACGTCTGTTAGTTTGGTTCCGGAAATACCCATCCTACGTTGAAGTGCCCGACTTCATTCCGTAAGTACAAATAAAAACAATGTTTTTGGAAGACTGACCCGTAACTTGAAGTTCTTTGAAAAATGAGAATCGAGAACTGGCAGGATTCGAATCTGTATAATGTTTGCTTAGTGGATTTTTCTGAATTTTAAAATTTATCTTGTTAACGTGCTCATTCAGCTTAAGTGATTTATTTAAACTTGAAGTAATAACGCTGATGGTGGTAATAATAATAATAGGATTAGTGTACCTTCTTTTAAAGTTCCCTAACTAAATGTAGTGTTACGTATTTTCTTGTTTGTTTCTGGTAGAAATTCTTTCCAATGATCCTCAGCGATAAAAGTCCTTTCTTGATTAAACCACTTTATTCTTTCTTGATACAAACTTTTAGTACACATTAGTACCACAATCAGTACGTTTCTCGGCACTTTAAACTTAACAACTTTTCTAATACACGCTATAAATCACAGCGATTCACAATCTCTAACTTCGCTCTGGACGAGTGCAAAACACACACTTTACGGCTCACTAGCTCGAAACTAACAAATCATAAATTAAACTGAACTCAAAATAACTACTGCTCTCTCTTCATTCAGCGTCCCCGCAGGCTTTCCCTGTCAGGCTTATATACTAACGAAGAGGGCATCTCCAACACACTCGATCAGTCGAGAAGCTCATCACGCACGCCAGCAGCGTCACGTGACTTCCGCTGTTGTAACAGTAGATTGTTTTTCTTTAAGGATAATAAGAAAAGTGTATGGGCATTAACTTTATTTAAATTAATTTACTTCTAACATTCAAATAACTTTCTTACACCAGTTTTTAAATTTCCGTTCTAATCTTAGAACTTTTTTTGTTACATTTTTTTATTGGGAAAACGTATCACGAGCTATAAGTGCATGTACTTGAAGATTTTTTGGTTACAGCCTGATATTACATAGTTCTGAGTGAAATTTTCCGAAATTGGACGTAAAAGCAACTACTCATGTAGGCCTAATATTGATTCGGGTTGTTATATTACATAAATAGCAGATATGTACAATGTTACATTTAGGGACATAAGCAGATACATTTTTATTGTTAAGACAGCGGAATTCACGTGACGCTGGTAACACGTAATGAGTTCTAGAAAGATAGGGGAACATCACAAATAATCCAGTATTTGCTAGACGCCCTCTATTCTTGTATATAAGTGCGCCAGACAATGAATCGGGATAGAATTGCAGAAATAGAGGCGGATAATTGAGTCAAGTGCGGTAAAGTGCGTGAATCGTTCGTTGTGAATTATAGCGTGTATTGAAGTTAAACTGATTGTGGAAATTAAGTGTATTGCAAAGTTGTATTGAGAAAGAATAAACTAGTTTTATTTAAGAAAGGACTTGTATCGTTGAAGTTTTTCGAGAGGAAATTTTACGGGAAAATAACGAACGATCAGAGACGTAACATTATATTTGTAAATATTCCACAGATCTATATTACTGTTATCCGTAAATAATGCTTTTGAATCTTTTGAAAGTTTTGTCAAAATTCTTATGATTATTCGTATTATTAAAAACATGATGAATAACATTAAAAAGAATGAATAAATCAAACTCGAGTATTAGTGGCGGAATATCGGTCTGTCCGCGATGTTTAAATAAAAATGTTCTTTTTTTTCAATACAAACTAAAAACAATTTTCTTTCTAGTATTTCCGATTTTAACTATCTGAATACAGTTAAAATTAATTTTTTTTGCTAAGATAATTGTGAACTAATTTTTACCGTCTCATTTTCTCAGACAAAACGTGATGGAACGCGTCCGTAACAAGGCTCGTATAAGGCTGAACATCTATTTCTGTATCTTGGCTGCCATTGGCTGTTTCGCTATGGTTGTTAGTGGCAAAAAGGCGCACAATAGAGGAGAGTCCATGAGGAAGATCAACGAAGAGTTTCACGAGAAGCACGCGCATAAGAACTAAGTCTCACTCGCTATGTACGTTTATGATATAATAATCATATTCTGTTTCTTCTGGCAGATACGCTCTCTTGAAGATGGCTGTTATTAGTTTTTAGAATTACTCTATAAGTAATTATCATTTAACTATAAACCTGAAACCTTTAACTTGGTGATTTTTAGCACATTTGATTACCAGTAGTTAATGTTAGTTATATCTGGATGTGATTGATAGAAACGTTAATGTAAAAACTGAATACCGTAAGTCGTAGAACACGTACGTAATGTTTAGTTTTTAAGGCAAGCCTTCTTTCTTCTAATAACATATCAAAATTTTAACAAAGTATAATCGTAAACTAGATTCTTTTTTTAACACTTAACCAACTTTAACAATATAAGAGAATATTTGAATACATCTAGAATAAATCTGTAATCTCATTGAACTTTAAATGATGGTGTTTTCTTTTAATAAAAAAAAATAAAGAAATTCTCCCAAAATAAAGAACTGGTTAGGACTAAAATATATTGTGAATACTTGCAATCTACAGTCACTTTAAATTTTTCTATACGTAAAACTATATAATGTTCCAAATTTTTGCTACTACAGTTTAGGTTTGGGGAAACTTGATTTTTATATGGGAAATGAACTTTTGTATATTTTATAGTATATTTCAGGTACGTTGGAGAATGTATAATTGTATGTTAACTGTAACAGACGAAATTTATGTGCTTAATTTTATAGGTAAGTCCATGTATTTTTTAATATTTTTTTTTAATTAAAGTTTTGCTAACCCTTCTCACTGTTACTTACAGAAGAGTTTGTTTACTGTAATTGTTAAGTAATAATATAATATACTGTGTATTACATAATAGATCTGAAGATGTTTGTGTTTGCAAATAAATATTTAGTGTCTGACTTTCAGAAGTACTCGTGATAAGCTTAGTCTAATTCGTTCTTATTAAAATGTACTTTCTCTGACAATACAACTAAACGTACATTTTCAATAAAATACCAGGTTGATTTGTCGAAACAGTTTTTGATTTAGAACTTGCGAATATCATCAGGGAATCAGTACCGTTCTATAAAATAACAATGCATAACTAAACCAAAAATAAAAATCCAGTGCAGTATCCCACTATCCTAAATGACCACTTACATTTGTAATTCTTATTAAACATTGAAAGAGAGTAACTTCCATCACGTACAAAGTTGTGCATCCTCTCAACCACCACATACAGAAATATCTTGTTTAGAAGGGCATTAGTGGAGAAACCTTGAACATATTCCTGAATATGTCAGTAAAGGTGTATTACTTTTGATTGCTATGTATGTCTGATAGTATTACCTCCTGCTATCATGGACGTCTTCTGATTTTTGCCTTAGTTGGGGTCATAAAAAGTAGTGTATCCTAGTATTTAATTTTTCGCAAAGCTACTCGAGGGCTATCTGTACTCAACTTCCCTAATTTGAAGCGATAGACTGGAGAAGGTACCGCTAATTCTTGACCTACTCTTGTCAGACAAAATAGTTGGATTTGGACATCACAATACCTATTAATCACCACATAGAAAGGGTGATACAGAAGCCTAACCAAGCGAATATAAGCTCTTGAATGAGTATCATTTTCCACAGAATCATCTTCATATTTTGGTATCTCGTGTAAGCTACCTAAATTTGGTTCTTTTAATCTTTAAAATAAACAAAAACAACAACAAAAACTAAGATCTAGTGCTGAATCCCACAATCCTAAACTACCAACTTTAGTCATTTTTATTGAACATGTTCAAGAAGATTCACGCTAACCATGAAATTCACGATGAAAATTAACAATAGTGAATTAGCTTATCTTGATATACTAATCAAGAAATCTGGCAAAAGGATTCCCCGATATATACCTATTTTTTATAAAATCAAACTTGCATATACTTACTTTTATAAAATCAAACCAATCCTCGTAAGTATCTGAACCTTTATTCATACAGAAAAATAAATCCCACACAGAAAAATAAACATTTCATACAACTTGGTGTGATGGATTGGTCTCGTCATCAAACAATTTTACAAGAGAAAAAATGAACTACAAGAACTTAAGCTATTAACATTAAACACAATCCTACAAATTTAAAAATAAAAACTAAGGGCAAGAATATCGTACAATCAGAATAAGCGAAACTAACGCATAAAGTGGGCGATTCCTCTCATTACAAAACTGCAACCTGGAATATTAAAACAATCAAAATCTGAAGAATTTTATAACTGAGAAAAACATAGTACACACAGTACATAAGACATAGTACACACGGGAAGATCTGATGGTGAACATTTGTGGTTACAAACATGTACCTGTAAACCGGGAAAAAATAACGTTAACTCGGGTACAACTTTAAAAATTAATGTCAACGTGAAAAGTAAATCTTGTGTTTAAACTTCAATCGAACAGGGAAGAAACTATGCTGGTTAGAATTGGGAACCATCAGTGGGTGAATGTTGGACATTTGTTCCAATTAACGATTTGTAATTCTCCATTTTGTGAAATGTTTTCGAACAGTGAAATAGAGCAGAAAATAGAACAAAATTTATTTCTAAAATTATTACAGCCAACACCTTGGTTGATTCATACAAAAACGTCACTTCTGTGTTGAATGGTGTTGGTTAATTTAGTTATTTCACAAACTATTTATAACTTGTATTTCACAGAAACATTTTCTGTGCATAACTTATAGACATAAGTTCAAAACCCTCATAGACTCAAAACTTTTTCCCACCTTTTTTTTTAACCATAATTTCGTATTAAGCACATTAGGGGGTTAATTGTTAAGATTGAGTTCGTACACGCGGTTTAATTGTTAAGATTGAGTTTGTATGTACTTTTGTTCCTCTTAATTAATTAGTTTTATATGTAACTTTGAACGTGACGTCATATTTAGAACCCTTGATGTCTGAGAAATCCACCTTAGACTAAAGCGCTCGCATTAAATCAATTATTAATCTACTTATTTTGAAATAAGTTATTCTGCACCATATTTATAAATATATATTAACCTCGAAGAAATGTCATAAGTATACGTATTACAGGGATGCTGAAAACAAACAAACAACAACGCTGAAAACAAGGCTTACTTCTTCACGATAAAGTTGTAGAAACACCATTTATGGCCAGACGGGTTTATTTCACTGAAGGTATTTGGCTCAGATTAAGATAGATAAATTGTGTAAATTGTGTTCTGTTTAAAGAACAAATGATGGCGAAATGCCCGAGACAAAAAAACATTTAGTTTTGAAATTGTCAGCACGAAAAAAAAAGAAGAAAAAATCATCCTCGTATTAGCTTTGTTTATTTGAATTTAAATTGTGTTTAAAAATACATATTAAGAAATCAATGCGCATGTATGAATATTACACTCTGTTGAATTATGGGAAAACTAAATTTCAATATCAATGTAAGGATACCTCGCGACTTTTGTCTGCCCATTTCAGAACAGACCCAGAACTAAGCTAAAAACGTTTAGCAGTAGTGTTTTAAAATATTTCTGGTTAAAAATTATAAATATTGCCTGTTAATCAAATACCTCTCATAATAATAATAATGATTATTTATGACGAGTAAAATTAATTACGAGCTCCGTACACAGATGGAGCTGTTTGCCGGAATGTTAATTTTCAACTGCATTACATAATCTACCCTGAAACACAAAACCGTTTATATGATTGTTTCATACTTAGTTTGATCTTCGAAGCAGCCCGACTTATGTCTCCGGTATGTATCACATTAAAAAATTATAAAACAAGAACGCAGGCTTGTAATAAGTCGAGATAATATCTAACACATTTGCACAATCTTGAAGTTAATGCAAAGCCACGTAGTGTTTTTCATCTTGGGGAGATTACTATCACAATGTCTTCACTTGAAAATAAAAACAAAACTTTGCTGATGTTTCAAATAAAAATAATAGTCGAAATTTTCATGAAAAGCACGAAGAATGGTGAACCTTTACAGAAAGATCTCGAGAAAACTTTATCTCTGACCCGTCAATATGGAGCTAACAGCATCATGTTACTATATTACTGTATCATCAACAGGAAACAAACAGAATCGTGTTACCATATTACTGTGTCGTCAACAAGAAACAGAATCGTGTTACCATATTACAGTATCGTCAACAGGAAACAAACTGAATCATGTTACCATTTTACAATATCGTCAACAAGAAACAAACAGAATCATGTTACCATTTTACAATATCGTCAACAGGAAACAGAATCGTGTTACCATTTTACAATATCGTCAACAGGAAACAGAATCGTGTTACCATTTTACAATATCGTCAACAAGAAACAAACAGAATCGTGTTACCATTTTACAATATCGTCAACAAGAAACAAACAGAATCGTGTTACCATATTACAGTATCGTCAACAGGAAACAAACAGAATCATGTTACCATATTACAGTATCGTCAACAGGAAACAAACAGAATCATGTTACCATATTACAGTATCGTCAACAGGAAACAAACAGAATCATGTTACCATATTACTATATTGTCAACAGGAAACAACCAGAATCATGTTATCATATTACTGTGTCGTCAACAAGAAACAAACACAATCGTGTTACCATTTTACAATATCGTCAACAAGAAACAAACAGAATCATGTTACCATTTTACAATATCGTCAACAGGAAACAGAATCGTGTTACCATATTACTGTATTGTCAACAGGAAACAGAATCGTGTTACCATATTACTGTGTCGTCAAAAAGAAACAGAATCGTGTTACCATATTACTGTGTCGTCAACAGGAAACAAACAGAATAATGTTACCATATTACTGTGTCGTCAACAGGAAACAAACAGAATGGTCTTTCAATAGTTATGGGGCAATTTAACTTTTTCTTTCACCAGCAATATTAATATCTAGGTCTGTAACCAATGAAATGTAAATGATCAAAATGTTTATCAGAAACATAAAATAAATATTGTATTTTAGAATTTAAACACAATCCTGAAATAAAATAACATATAGGTATTTTTAGTTTTGTAAATTAATATTTATGACTGGATACTGCACATCGGTTATCAGCTTTCTGAACAATTTTAAAGTAGCGATATCAAAAAATAGTTGTGAACTGTTGACGAGAGAGGGCCCATAGATTCGAAAAATCTAAATAATGTGAGATTGAATATATGTTTATTTGAGTGCATTTTTAAACAGATTGGTAGTTTCACAAACTGGTGAAGATTATCATTGTAAAAACAACAATTTTGGGCTCAATCTGTGGGTCATAATTTAAAAAAGTTGATATTCTTGTATACACTGTAACTGGGATTGAAGTAGAACAAGTCATATAAATTAAAACCGATTTCAGAACACCGGTTCTACTGTTTATTTATTGAACACACAAGACAAACAAACACAACTCAGTCAAACGTGCACATAGAGATGGTGAACTATAGCAGTTACTTCTGTAAGTATTAAAGGAACTATTGTCAGGAAACTTTATCAGACTGAGAGTCAATTTATATATATACTTATTTAAATAAAATAGAATAACCCAGTGTAAAGTTGTCACCATGTCTATCTGCAAAAACATGGCTGACAGAGCCTCAAGATATTTCTAAACATTTATACAGCTGATGTTACTATAACATGTTACATGATGTTACTAGATAATACATCAGTATAAGTCTAAGAAAATCCACAGATACCAAAAGGGGGAATAATTCTTGACAGCGTGAATTAGCACAAGAATAAGTATGATATTTGTTCTTAATTTTAGATGAACAAGACAATACAAGAAAGAAAAACCTTAAAGTGTCTTATAGTATTTTACAAAAAATAATTCCTTTAATAATGATAAATTTTAACACGTTTCTAGACTTAGAAAAATGAAAGGGAAGAAGTAATTTTGA